TCCTAATTACGAGCTTCTGTGATGGGAAATTAATCTTTGTTATTGTTTTATATTTTCTCCCTGGGGCGCTTATTTTCTTCGCGTCGAGTGGTACGTTATCGCTTCACGATGTATCATGTAAAACCAGTAGTTGTGGACACTGATTGTGACATAGTTCATACTGATAACATGTACAAAGCAAGTGTTGTAGAACAGCTAACTCCAACGGCAAGTGGTGGTAATCCTCCCGATAAGTTAGCCTGTTATTTTACTAACAAATCCGGTGCCAGATCGAAACTAGGTCAAGTCTTAGACAGCGGGGCTCAGCAACAAGAGCATAAATCAGAAGGCTTCAACCAGACAGCGGAGGAAGATACATTCAAAGCCGCTGTAAATACTGAAAGACCCAACGAGATGAAACTCGATAGATACATCATTAGGAAGGTGGCACCTGCTTCCAAACTTGGTAAATGCCTTCATTCACAGCGGGAGAGTGGGAGCCCTTCTGATCAACACTCGGGGCTTCTTCATCGTCTTAAACAAATGGAGCGGGTGTTGGATAGTCTCCTCTTTCCAATGGGTCTTGTTAAGTCTAGCTTGCACGTCTCATCATTACCGAAACCTACTGTTCAGCCATCTAAGCATGTTGAAAAACCTAACAATGTACTGGTTTCCCTTCCCATATCGGATTCGGTGTCTTCTTGCGCTTCGAGTCACATGGATGCAGACACGAAGTTGCTTCATCGACTCAAAGTACTAGACAAGGAGCTGGATAGCCTCCTCGTCCCGATGGGTATCACGGAACCTTGCACACATGTCTCACCGGCAAACCTCATAGTTAGCAAGGGTTCCGAGCCTTCGGCTCAACCAACCGACCATGGGAAGAAGCCAAACACCGCACCGATCTCTGTTCCTGTGATCGGCCTCACGTCTTCCTGCGCTTCGTCTTCCAAGAGCCACACTGATTATGATACAATGTTGGTTCATCGTCTCGAGGGATTGGATCGAGTGCTAGATGGTCTTCTTGTTCCGATGGGTCTTGTTAAATCCACCGAGCATGTCCCGCCTTCAAAACTCATCGGTGGCAGAATTCTTGAACCCTCTACTCAATTAACTAAATATGTTCAGAAGCCAGCTATCGCTCTGATCTCTGCACCCGTGACCAAATTGGTGTCCTCTCCTCCTCCATCCCTCGTCGACCTCGCAATTCACTGCGATCCCAAAAATCCACCTTTTGCGATCCTCCTCTACAGCAAGTTGCAAAACTTGGGAGGTCGTAATATCTCGCTACAGTTTTACAAACACTCGACTCTCACGTCCATCCCAAAACACTTGTCTCAGTTGGAGAATTTCTTTGTCGGTCAACCACGTTCTTCCTCCGCTGAGTTAATTCTTTCCGTGATTTGGCGACCCTGTGCCTTAGGTTGTATGGCCATTTCGAATCCTTTCACTGACCTCCCGCTCTATGGCGAGACAGCTATTTTAATGTTTCTCTGTAGTCTCTCGTCCGACTTTGCAAAAACTTTTCAAAATCTGTCCAGTATTGACTCTGCTGTTCTTACCAAAAATGTGGATCTTCTCGTAGATTGTGTCGAGAAGTTTGGGAAAACAGGGACCGAGTCCTTCTCGATTGAAGAGATCTCGCTTTTTGTCTTCTGTGAGGTGGCTGGATTGTCTTCTCTAGTGCAAGGAGCCTCCAAGTCCTGGTTCAGTCGGTGTATGTCGAACGAATATTTCGCCAAGACAAAAAAGATTATCAATCAGTATCACTAAGTTTATCATCATGGTTGCCTAATCTGAATATATTTTGTTCATCAGGTTTCTGATGTTTCTTTGCTAGTTTCGACGAGTTGGTGGTGATAGAAAGCACTATACTGCTGCTCCGCTACATACGCTTATTTAATATCGGTTTTTTTCCCAAGGATTCAATGTAAAGCTTGGTTTGGAATTATTCTTTAATAAATCTGGTTTGCGCGCTATCAGGGCGTTTTCATTCTACATTGGTCAAGTACTGCTGGGACCGTGATGTTCTTGCATGATTCCTCTGCAAAACAGCTACAAGGATCCACGTCCATCGTTTACCAGATTGCGATCCAGTGGATGAACTGCATTTCTGGTGTGAATGGCAACGATGAGATTTAATGGTTGTGCATTCTCTGAATAACAGGGAGTCAGGTTTGGTATAGGCATTCAAAGCTGAGAAATGAACAGCTAGCGACTGTTGCATTGTTTAAACTGTCCTTTGGAATAAAGTTAGTATTTGGTTTCTCTGGACAGATTAGGGTAAGGTATTCAGTGAATCATCCGAGTGTTGAAGTGATTGATTACTTGACAGACTCCTAGAGTCTACCAAGAGTTTGTTGTTCTTTTTTCGCCTTACCTTTTCGTATAATAGGAGTGAGGTTGCTCTAACACATTTGATCATAAAAGGTATAACTGAGTGTCAATTCGTGCCATGGGCATTTTTAAAGATTGGAAAATTTAATGACGAAGAAAGTCCCCACCAAGCCTCACTGAGGGCGTAAATCCCAGCCCCTTGGGTCGTTGCTTTCATGCACCGTGTGGAGACGGATTCCACTGCCTCGAATGCTGCTTCTCCACTGCAATGGTTTTTGCCATTTTTTTAGTCAAACCGCTGAGTCACAAGTTCCCTCTCAACCTGACAATAATTGTGCGAGTCGGGAAGCATCTTTATCAGACTTCGAAAATATGCATGCGGACAGAAAATCCTAGCAATCACAAAATTAAAATAAGTACTGTATTTTAAGGGGACACGCTTTTAAAGTTTACGATCTGCACCTTTGCAATGTTAACCGTCGGCACCTATCATGGTCAAACTTTGAGTAGCCCGTAGTTGATAGTAGAAAGAAAACAATCACCTCATGGAGGAAGGAGGCTTTTAAACTTCGAATATCGCCAAAAGATGGCATAATACCAAGGCTTAGTGGTAACTTACATGTGGCATTGGTCTAAGAGTCTCTGCCATAATCAAGAATCGAAATGACAGTTGAGGTATTGCTCAAGTCCCTTCACCTTGTGGACGAAGTCAGACATTGCAGCGTTGGTACTCTCCAACGTACCAACTATCCGTGTCAGTCATCCGATTTGCTTGCAAGTGAAAAGCTATCTGACGGCAGTGGCACCGGCTTTCCCTCGACTTCTACAAGATCTTAAGGTGCATCATGTTAGGAAAGGGCATTGGAAGAAGTGAGGGTGTGTGTTGACCTGGTCGACAACCCAAGGTCAAATGGCATCATCTAACTATCGACAAAGTTTTGCTCAGTCCTGCTTCCATTCCACCTTACCAGTTCTGTCTCACTTTATTACTGCCCGGCCAAGTCCATTTGGAGAAGACATTCTTCATTCACTGTATTGAAGTGTCACTTTAGCCGCAAGCATCATCTCTGCAGATTACGATTTTGGGACAGCTGGCCAGAGTGAATGGCATCTGCAACCCTTCCACCAAGGTCCATCACTAATTCCCACATCTCCCATCCTTTCAAATTTACAATTTGACACTTGGAGATGCAGTGAGTGAAAATTGTCCCCTAGAATAATGTTAGCTTTCTACTTTGCTGAGAGCTAAAGACATGAAAGTATATCGTGCCCTTAAGTCGAAACCAATGGTTGCGCCTTTAACTCGGTCTGTGTTACTTGAAAAAAGTCCATTTATGAGTTGCTGTCGGCAAAGAAATTTGCCCAACATGAACTTTATTTTGCCGGAAGAGACGAGGAGATTGTGAAAGGAAGTATCTCTAGTTAGTTTTGCGTATTTTGCTTCA